ATTAACTTAACTTTTAATTCAATTAATTTCATTATGGATTAACTTGTATTTTAATTAAGTTAAATTTTCAAGGCTATTAACTTTAACTTAAGTTAGTTAAAAAAAAAAAGTTAACTTACTCAATCCTGCTAATCATAATATATGTGCCTCTTCGAACCGAGTAAGATCCCTTGTGATATTTTCTCGTATCATCAAAGAAAACGAAAATATTTTAAATGATCAAGGTAGAGGAAATATCCTGTGCGTATGTATGTATATATATATATATATACAATATATATATGTATATAACAAAAATTAATATGTTAGATAATTGTACATTATATTACTGCAATAATTCTAAAATAATTATTTGAATGATCTTTTCTGAAAAAACAATTCGACAATAATATCTCAATTTCTGTGAAAATATATGCTATTATAAAAAAAATTGTAAGTACTTCTATCATTCAGGCCCACAACTCACGGTTAACTCTTAACCGAGATCCAACTTATTTATTGTCTCTTTCTGATTCTAGAACTGGAAAGAGATAAGAAACAAGTTGAGTCTCGGTTAAGAGTTAACCGTGTTATGAAACTGGGCCTTAATCTGCTCAATTGTAAAAATGCTATCTTCAGTATTTGAATTTATCTCAGATAAGAAATTGTAGGACAGTTATACATATGAGATTCTCATATAGCACTGATGCAGCAAAATAATATCTGCAGAATCAACATCTTGACGCTCTAAATCGTACAGGCAAATTAATTATTTTATTAAATAATTGATTTAAAAAAATCTAAATAATATAAAATCAAATGTAGAAGTTTATGTATATGTATATAAAATAAAATATTGAAAAAGATATTGTATTAGATAACAGAAAGATAATGTTTTGCATTATATATATTCGCATTGTTTTTAATAAGTTGTTTACATACAAAAAGAAACGCGAAGTCAAAAAAGTGATATTACTTTTCTAATATAATATTTCTTTTCATCTTCCGAATCAAAAAGTGGTCAACACAACAGTGGCGCTGAAAATTGTTTTCCAAGAGGGGAGAAGGTTGAACGGTTTGGATTTGGACCTCTATTTCTATACACCACGTAGTGCCGAATGGCACTAAATTTGAAGTTGTACAGGCTGTGTCGCGTCGTTGTGTCTCTTCCGGTCACGCGTACAGATATTATTCAGGTCTGTAAAAAAAAGGTATCATAAATTAGAAGACCGGCATCGACCTTTTGATCGTGATCGACGCGATCCAGTAAGGTTATAAGTGGAGGCTGGGATTCGGAAGTCGGTTAAACCGTTAAACGTAGACGCCACGACTAGAGGTTTGTCGTGTCGCAAGCTCCAACATGCTCCAATATGCTCCTATCATAGCTCCTATCAAGCGCGTTGAAGTGAGTAAGAGCTATGACAGGAGTATATTGGAGCATGTTGGAGCATGCGACGCGAACAAATCTTAGGCTATGTATTTATCGATTGGGCAGAATGAAATTTCTTTAATAACTGTAACATTAGCTGTGACGCAGTAGCAATTTTACGTTTATTATTATACTCGTCGACGAGGCTGAGAACTTCGAAAGTTAAACTTTCATTCATACGGACGAAGACAAATCGTACCGGCGTTTTTAACATTATTACAAATAATTGATAAAAATACATTTCCAGTGTCTTCCATTTGTAATATCGGTTTTATTAAGTTGGAAGATTATTTAGAAGTATTGATACAACTCGCTAACCATCAGTTATTAACACTGTTTATATCTTGCGCAGTATTCTCTCTTCACAAACAGCAAAGTTTCAGCATGCCACGAAAACAAAGTTCAAAAGCAAAGGTATGGAAAATATATGCAAGATTAACTTATGTGTATAATTAAATAAGCATGAGCAAATGTTGTATTTAATATTTTTCCTTTAATTATCAATTCTTTAATTATACACTCATTATAGTATCCATTGAAGTATCTTTTTGTGTGTAAATCATAATGTAATTATCATATTATTTACAAAAAATTTGTACTTAACTATCCATCAGACAATTATATTTATTTCCGTAGCTTTCTATATTAATAAATAAAAAAATTATTAGACTATTTATCAGTTTTCCTTGAAATTAGGCTGATTCTTCCAAAGCTAAACCTGGTAAGAAAACACAAAAATTAGATGAAAATGGAAGTTCAAATAAAAAGCGTGTAAATGATACAAATGATGAACCTGCTCCAAAGAGGACAAAAATCGAATCAAAGGCATCAAAAAGCACTGATAAAAGTGATGATTCATCTACCGCGAAGAAGGCGAAAAATGAACCCAAGCAAATGCAAAATAAGACAGATACAAACTTGGATGAAATAGATTTTGGATGTGCAAAGTCAAATCAGGAAGGAAAGAAGCATAATTTGAAGATCTGTACATGGAATGTCTCTGGGATCAGGGCTGTAATCAAGGTACATTTATGTCAATGAATATATTTTTTTAATGTATCATATAATGATTCCTCTACTTATATTTAATCAGAAACATGGACTCGACTACATTACCAAAGAAGATGCAGATATAATTGCTTTGCAAGAAACAAAATGTAACAAGGATAAACTGCCAGACGAAGTCAAATTACCAGGATATCATCACCATTTCCTTGACAGTAAAATATATTTTAGAAAAGAAAAAAACTTACACTGAATATATATACACAAATCACATAAGTATACTTCAATAGGTAAAAAGCCAGGTTATTGTGGAGTTGCTTTGTTCAGCAAGGAAAAACCAATTTCTGTGAAATATGGTTTAAATGATTCTACTTTTGATACCGAGGGTAGGATAATCATGATGGAGTTCCCAGAATTTTTTGTGATCAACGTTTGTAAGTTGCTTAATTCTCTTAAAATAAACTCCAATTATATTATTACAAAAATCAAAATACATGTACAATTCAATATACTATATGATGTGTAAACATTTTAATATAATTTTTTAAAATTAAATAATTTATCTTTTCTGAAATATTTGTAATTTCATCAGAAAATAATGTTTGATGTTTACTAATAGAATATAATTTAACAGATGTGCCAAATGCTGGACAGAAATTGGTGACATTACCAAAACGATTGGAGTGGAATAAATTATTCAAAAAATATATTGAAGAATTAGATCATAAGAAACCTGTTATTATTTGCGGTGACATGAATGTAGCTCATCAAGAAATTGGTATAATATTAGTATTGAAACGATAAGTGAATCCCTTTATTATTGTGTATAATGTTATTAATATTTTAGTCATTTAATTTTAATCATTTAAATATATTAAAGTATCAGTCTTAGATTAGTATGTGATTGAAACAATATATAGAAACGTTAACTTGTTATTATTGATTAATTTCCAGATTTAAAGAATCCCAAAACAAACAATAAAAATGCTGGATTTACTAAAGAAGAACGGGATGATATGACCGATTTCTTAGCTGCTGGATTTGTAGATTCTTTTAGATTATTGTATCCTGAAACAGAGGGTGCATATACATTCTGGTCGTACTTTTCCAATGCACGCGGTAAGAACATTGGATGGTAAGTTATTTTTATTAGCATTTTTACTTTCATTTAACTATGATATATGTGTAAAAACTATGTTATATATACAAATCTTACATCATTGATTAAATATTAAATTTTTTATATATAGGCGACTAGATTACTTCTTGATATCAGAACGGATCAAAAATAAAGTATGCGATAATATTATAAGGAAGGATGTTTACGGCAGCGATCATTGTCCTGTAATACTTTACATCAATTTGTAATTTGTAATAATAATAAATATTTGACACGTTCCATTGCATGAAATCATCAAAACGAAATTTTTCTCATGTGTGAATGCAAATATATATGAATAATTACATTATTTTATTTTAAATACAATAAGTATACGCATTTTATATTATTATATTTATGCGATAACACAATTTTTTCTAAACCTGATTTTCCTGCAATTTTATTTTTATGCAGGTAAGACATCCTGATAAATTTTTGACTTTAAATTCTTGGATATTCAATAAATTTTGTTAAAACAATAAAATTATATGCAGGGTATACCTAATAAAGAGAATTGATATTTTACGTTTTTTTACTTTATTATAGAGGAAAGGTATTAAATTACAACTGCGTCTTGGAGCTTAAGCTGTTTTTTGCTCTTAGCTTTAACTTGTGCAGCAATACGATCCAAGTCCCTGCGTCCCTGACTGGTCAGTTTACGTCCACCGAGGGGTGCCTTTTCGATGAGTTTTAACTGCTCCAGACTCTGAAGTGCTTTTCTCGCGACACTGCCTGCTGATCGACAGAAGTGGCTGGGATGAGTGCCGTTACGTTTGCGTCCACCAAAGATCTTTGTGACCGCACCAACTCCAACGGGACTACGAATATAAATATGACGCACCAGGGCTGCACATCTAATATAGTACCAATCAGGGTCATAGGGCGCCAGCTCTTTGAATTTGGCTGTCTTCACGATATCCACCCATTCTGGCACTCGCATCTTACCAGTTCTAAAATTTTATGAAGTACAATGTAGCTCGAATTGCAATGACATCTTGGAACTCTGTCTTACACGTTTATTACCAGAAAAACTTCAATATATAAAATAGAGAATTTTTCGTACTATTATAAAGAAAAAAAGAAATATAAATGATAAAACATAAATAATTTTAAATAATAAAACTTTGTTAGATATAATCACAAGAGATTAGATTAAATTTTAAGTACTCTACTTGTTATTCTATTTATAGGTTACAATAGGTTCTAATTATTCTGTTCATATTCCTTTCTCACTTTTTAAGAAAGGCTGCAAAGGCCTTGACAAATTTTGCTTGATCCACATCTTTTAACGTTACGGATGGCATCTAAAAAAAAATTAATTCAATAAAACAATCAATATGCAAAATGACATGTGAACATACACATGGATAAGATGTAAGTAAACATATAATACTTTCTAATAACCAATAAAGATTATTAACTGATTACATACGTTTTTATGTAGATTTTCGTATTTTCTTGGCTAAATACAGAATTGCTTTTGATTCGTGTTCTGTATCTGGTAATAAATTTTTTTTCGTCACAGCCAAGCTAACAAAAATCGTCAGGCATCAGGCTCAACAAGAGGTTATTTGTAGTTACACTTTCTGCACTTAAAATGAAATAAGCGCATATTTGGGCATCAGAGAGAAAAGGAGAAAAAGGAAAAAGTGCAACAAGTTCAGCACCAGCTAAATAAAGTGTAGTACGATGAGGATGAGAATAGCAATGAATAGCAACGTCTGAACGGTCTGAACCGTGAACGTCGATTTCTCCGTATTGATGGAAACAGTTTAGCTAGAAGGGATAAATCAGAATAAATCTACAATTTTCGTTTCTGAACAAAACGATATTTAACGCGTTGATTAAATATAAAGGATAAAACTGGTATTTTGATCCTTATATTTTGATTGTTTCGATGATGTTCACTAACAAGAAAAACAACTTGCCAGCGAGGCCTCACATGCCAAATCATGAACACATGTTGGAAGACCTCGATAAAGCCGTAGTGGACGATATAGCGTTTAAAATCGCAAGTAAAGATTTGCAATATTTATGATTAAAAACCGTTTTACTGTCACTCATTTTAAAGTCTTCTCTCGTAAAGCATAGCAAGTAAAATCTATGGAAAAATTCGCGTTTAATTTTCCTTGTATTCGATCACAGAACGATCGTTTAAACGAATCAATAGATTATATTTCTACGAATGTAATTTCAGACGAGTGCATGAAAGAGTCTTACAGTTCAACAAGTGTTAATAACACTGATGATATATACAAACAAGTGAAAACCTATTTGAGTACCAAACAGCAGTTAAAGCAGTTGGAATGTGTCTTAAAGAAAGAGAGTCAACAAATGCATGCAGATAACGAAGAAATAAAGAGGCTTGCGGATGATATTAGGAAGCAGGCGAAAGCTGCTCTGATAACTTAAGGAAATAAATTCATATTTGCAAGGGTATATTAGTCACATTGCATTGGGTTTAGCCTTTCAAATAAAGAAATTATTTTAAAATGCTTACATAATTTATTCCATAAAATTTTGATCATTATTAATTTTTTGCTAATATATATTTTATGTCTTTCTCTGAAGCTCTTGCTTACTTAAAATAAGTAGATGAATATACATCTACTATATAAAATACATTTTTAATTGATAACTATTACAAATAAATTGAATTCATATTAAGAAAACATTTGACGATATTTTGTAAGATACAAGATAAATAATTATATCATATCATCTATAATAAGTATTTAATAAAATCTTTGTCAATAATTTTTTTATGTTCTTAACATTGATATGCGTTTGTGTACGCGTACTCATATATATTAGTACACTGAACAGTACACCGATTACACAGATTGATACGTTATTTAATGATACATCGTATTTCACAGATCAATCCCAACGAAATTTATAACAAGGCACAAGTAATAACTTAATGTCTAACATTACTTGTAGCATGATGCTACGATAAATATAATCTATCACATTTACCGTGATGGATAACATTTATAAAGATTTATGATTTTCTCTTGCTTCTTGCATATAAAAACTTATAAATTATTCTTACATTATATTTTTATATTTATTAAAGATATGCAAAGTAGCAATTAAAACCGTACGGTAGCCTCAGTTATTCAAAGAGTTATCAAAAATACTTTTAGATAAAAATTGAATTGCATTACACTTACTTAACGAAGTAACATGATAAAAAGAGATTGTTATATATTTTTATCGTATACATTTTTTAATATTTTCTAGCACTTAGTATACTTTTCTTATGAAACAGTGCACCTCCTTTATTTGAAATTTTTTTTATAACTCTTTGATTAATAGAGATTACAGAGTATTGCTGTTAAAACATGGCTAACTTCACATATAATAATATCTTATATGACAAAAATATATTGATACGATTAATTTATATCTTATAATACTGTGTCGTGCGCACAACTATTTCAGAAAATTATTTTATTACTTTTGCGAATAGTTTCCGAATAAGAGATCAAACAGCTTTAACTAATAATTTAAATCACTAAATCATTGTATACCACTGAGCAATATATTAAAGATAATCTTAAAAAATGATCAAAAGCTCGAAAACAGAATAATTATTGTTAATAACATAGAATATAGTTATAAAAAATATATATATATTATAAAATCTGATAACAGATAATTTTCGCTTAAGTAGTTATTCTAAACAAATGCGCGAATAAAAGATATATAATTAAATTAACGCGTAAATAGCTTTCTTTGTACATATAACTTATTTTGATATATAGCTCATCTGTCTATATATTCGAACGATATTGTATCAACACGATCTGTAAAGACAGAAACTATTTAATGGGAAAAACTTGGTACCATGTCAAATCGGTTCACAGGTTCACTAAGGTAGGCACACCACGTAAATCCTGGTGGATACCCTAGAAAAATCATGTCGATAGATTAATATACATTAATAACAAGGATGCAAATATAATGCATACCCTGACATATGGCTCATATACCTCCTTTACATCTTCAAAAAAATGCATCACCACATATAAATTCATGTGTCATATAGATTCATAAAAAATGTATTAGTGAAACAATAAAAACGTCAATTTATGTATAAATATATGACTTAGATTTTACTTCCTTGATATCAAGATACACAAGTTTATTAAATTAAATATAATCGTAGTATAAAATGTTCAATAAGAGGAAGACATGTTATTTATTTCAAATAAAATCTGTTTTTTTATATAATGTTAGTAGAATTTTTTACCTATGCTTGAAACTTGAAAGAAAAAGAAAATAGAAAGACGTATGTGAGGAAAAATTCCGAAAATATTAGAATGCGATGTAAAAGGCAGTCAAATAAGATTTGTAATTTAAAAAATTTTTTCTCCTTTTTATTACTTTAAGGTGTTATTAGATGCACAAATTCCCAAATAATCATGCATGCGAAGGCAGAAAGTAATTGGCCATAAAATTAATGTAGTAATAATAGCGATAGAATTTCTTGTTAAAACACGCGACACGCAAAGACCTCTTAGCAAATTGGATATTGTTGTACAAGAAAAAATATCCATCTATTCAAAGTGCATCTAAATTTAGTTTGATTTTTTGCTCTGATACGTTAAGTGCTATTGAACTTAATAACTAATTGAGGGGATTGGCGGAATAAAGGCACAATTCTACTTAGGAGCTTTTTCCGGAGATTAGCGCAAATAAACAAGGAATTGATGTTGCTTACATCAGTTAAATATAAAGGTATTTCGATTGTCCTGTGGTGGTGAAAATGATACAATCTATGGGAAAAGGACATAAATTTAAAATCATTAATGAGATTTTTACCAGAGACTGAACGAGAATAGTGCCACAATAATGTGTTTTCATTACAACATATTTACATTAAAAAATTTTACGAAAATTCATCAGATGATGATTGAACATTATTTCAATTTATTTTGTACAAGTAAAAGTAAAATATATTTCATATTCATTCTGTATTTCTTCTAGAAGAATGTGAAAATAAAAAACATTTCTGCAGTTCATAGTCTTTTCTTTCTGTCGATTTTTACAATATGTATCAATATTCGGAAAAAGGAACTAAGTGCATTTTTTAAATTGCAAATGACTTTAAATATTGATCATAATAGAGAAATATTATAACATATAACTTCTCAAAGACATTATAAATATACATTTAATACTGTTCCCATTTGTGGTATAATAAGAAAAAAAAGTAACAAGTTATTTTAATTTTTATCAAAATCAAGATTTTGTAATTAGGCCTTTATTCCGCCCATTTCCTTAATTGTGCTAGAAGCTAATATAAATTTTTTGTGTCTTATTAATTTTCACTAATGAGTAACACTTGCTTGATGTAATACTTACATAATATTAGAAATTATTATTACGTGCTGATGATATGCGGATGAGGTAATATATTGAGATTCATCATCTTCCGTCCGGCTGCATGCAAGGAATCCCTCAAGATTAGTATGTTAGTTACATATTAATGTATACTACACAAAAGTTAATTTTTAAGTTCCGAGACTATAAAAATAAAAAGATTAACGTTCAATTGTCGTTTTACAGTTTTACATAAAAGTACACGGCATTGGTAAAGAATAGACATATGTATATATTTTTATTCCACAACATTTTTAACAATCATATAAAAGTGCTTTACAGTTTGTATATAGGAATATCGGCGGTTCTGTACAATTACAATTTTGTGGTGGATTCTGTAATAAGTACTACGTAAACACAATATAAAAGTATATTACATCTTCTTAACTACGGCTTACATCTATGCAGATTTTAGGACGGATTAGAACAAATATGCAAATTTGATATGTCGTATATACCTAATATATATAAAATCGCGCGCGCGATAGTGCAGCATACTTACACTATATTAATAATTTGTGCAGCAGCATTTATAACATAATTAAAACTGAATCATCTCGTAACCTTAACTATTGAATAATAATTTCATTGTAATTAGCTGCTCTTTACGATTGTACATTTATGGTTGCACTAAAAAAAATAGAACAATTATGTATGTTTAATCTAAAAAAAAATTAATATTTTCAAAAACACTAACAAATAATTATTAGATTTATTGTCTTGTCAGATGGGATCCATTATTCTTATAATCAAACAATACATATTTCATGATTCTATTCAAATATTGATCTGTATATGTGCGTGATATATCCTGTTTTAGTATAAATCTCATACTATTAAAAACATTATAGTGTCTTCAGATCTATGGCAAATGTAATAATAAAAAGGTTCGAAAATAATAAAAGTAATAATAAAAGTTCTCTTTTAACCCATAAGTAGAACCGAGATAAACGCAACAACAGTATATTGAGTATGATAGTGCCATTTGTTCGGTGTTTTAGTCCTTATCAGTACTATTACTTCCTACAAAACTCCCAATCTCTCTCTCTCTCTCTCTCTCTCTCTCTCTCAAATAATGATAAAACCTTTAATTAAATTATATTAGTCACAAATAAACAAGACGCAAGTTGTATGCACCTTAGGAAAGACGAATAATAACATTATGTATGCTTTATATTTTTAAATTAACAAAAACAAATTTTACCTTCTAAAATGGTGAACAATTTTGTTTACTTTAGTCGATATCTTATAATGCACGTTTTGTTTAATGTTTGAACATTACGCAATCTAAAATCTAAAAAGTATGATCGAGACAACGTTTCTCTTTTACTTTTAGCACTTTTCAAAATTATGTTTTTGAAGCTGAAAAGACATATATTATCATATAACGTAATATATATGATATAACGTATTATGTATAATGATATATATGTAATTTATCATGTTATTTAGTGACACGATCAAGCATAATTGCTAATTGTGGACGAAATTTTTTTTTAAATCGATATTGACATATATATGACTATTATAAAAGTTAGAAAAGTTTTTCGAAGTGTAGTGCAAATAAAAGCAAAGCTACATATAAATGTGATACGTGATTTATATATATATTGTATATATACAGGGTACCTCACAACTACCGCATTTTCTCTTAAGAACGTATTCTTGAGGTAATTTTGGGACGAAAATTCTAACACAAAAATGTCGAAGCTATAATTTTTGAAATATAATTGGTTAATGATAGTTTGTAATTTAAAAACTATTATAGCCTCGGATATTAGGATTTTCTTCTTAGAATGTTCAAAAGAATCCAGAAATAATAATACAGGCTATGAAAGTAAAATGGTTTTTAACTCATAAGCATTTAGCTTATAATTCAAAAAATTATTGTAATCTCGACATTTTCGTATTAGGATTTTTTGTTTCAAAATTACCTCAAGAATGCGGTAGTAGTGAGACATCCTGTATATATACACACACAAAATAAGTAAAAGGAAGCACAGATAAAAAATATTAACAGATAACAAATATACTACAGATAACAAATATACTGTAAGAAATATTTTTTGCGATACATTAATATGTTTCATTAAATACATTCTGAATGCATTAATTTTTCAATAAATTGTCAGTACGTGGAATGTGACATGATAAATAGATAGTCTCAATTTATGATCATTAGAATTTATGATCATGAATAAATTTTATTCGATTAGAAACATGTATATTTTATTAATAAAAATATAGCACGATCATTTCGTATTTTTATGATACGACAATTTTCAATGCATATATAAATTTTTCATCGTTAATTGCATTCCATTACTACAGTATGATAAAAGGTACAATTTAGAAAAGAATAAATAGACTATCCTGCAATATCTACTGTATCAGTAACATAATCATTCATTATGTTGCGCTTATACTCTACTAATATCGTAATTTTAAAAATATTGATTGTTGAATGAGTCATTGCATAACAACTTGACTGTACAACATTAAATCGGTTGAAGTGTCAGAGACACATCAGCATAATTTCTCTCTCTGAGATTTTTATCGTAAGATTCTAAAGTGCCCTTTTTAAAAATGATATCAGTCTCCAATGGCAGTCATCTAGTGAAGTTTGGCATTAGAAAGAATTTACGTAACGTCAACTTGCCTCTCGGCTTGTGTTTGAGATGGTCCTCAATGAATTGACAAGGACAACGGGCGGAGACACAATGGCGCGGTGGAACAGACAGACCCATAACGCCTCTATCACGTTCCTGCGAGTCTATAACCAGATCAAGTCTGCGACGCACGAAGTGACGTGCCCATCGAGACGCATACCTCAGCAACAGCAACTCCGCCCGTTCCTGTCAACACACACCATCATCATTCAGTAGAACCCTTTGCTTCACGCAAAATAGTAATGTGTGGTTTTTCTTTCATCTTTTAAATTTTCTGTCAAAAAACTCAAATTTATATATTTAGTTTTATGTTAAAATACAAGTTTGTAAGTGTCAATGTAAGGGTGCGTTCAAACTATCGAGCCGAAATTTGAGTCGAGCCTCAAGCCGCGAGCATCTCGGCTAACTTTCATTATTTTTTGCCGAGCCGCATAACAAATGTTTACCGAAACGTTCGTCGCTCAAGGTTTGGCTTGAATTTCGGCTCCATAATCTGGACGCATCTTTGTATACTTATAACTGTTGAAAACTGATATTATAAGTAATATTCTTCATAATATAGTATAGTACAATTCGTAAATATAATCATCTGTATGCTAATGATGTCTCTGACTGACCATTATGCTTGATAATGACTTTTTGTCGTAAAAGGATTTTCACCGTTATTACAAATTATTCATTATGAATTAAAAATTATTTGCTCACCATTTTACAGATATATATTTGTGTTATATATAAATATATATATATATGTATATTTCATCAAGCTCAATATTGTTAAATATAATTATATTAATCAACAAATTATTGGTAAAAAGAGGAGAATACTGACAAAGCATTTACCAAAATAGATGGGAAAGCTTGATAAAAGTTAGCCCTATAATGCCGAATAGATCGAAACAAAATAAAAATTATTATATCCATCGTCATCTATTTCTATGGATTATGTTAACAATAAGCCACACCTATTATCAATTTTAACGTTAAATGTGATATGATCTTCAGAATATAAAATTGAATATAAAATTGAATATAATCTTTATCTTTTTTTTATGAGCAAAATGTATGAACACCACATTTAGCGTTAAATGAGTCTTTAGCAGAATATAAATGTCTTGCTCTGAAAATGAAAAACGATCCCGTTCTATTCTATATAACTCTATAATTATATTAATTTCAATCTCTCTCTTTGAGCCAGATTGCCACTTATCATGTAGTTATCTGTAATCCTTTGATATTTTTAAATAAAAAATGTTAAGTACATTTTAAAAAATATTTTTAAATTAAAAAATATATAAATGACATAAAATCAGTAAACGTAATTCCCAAAATAATATAACAAATACTGCAATAAGAAATAATGATTTAAATATTACAAAGTAACTACATCACTATGCTCATAAGCATATCAAAAGTTAATTTCAACAAAATTTAAGAGAAGAAAATTCTTTTAAAATTTTTTGACGCAACAAATGTTTGATATTTAAATCAAAAGTTGCATTCTCGTCCATGCATTGTGCGATTTAGCTATTTCTATATCAATAAAAAGATGGCCATTTTTACAAATGTATGTTAAACATAAGTCTTAAAGAAAGGATTACGGCAAAAATTATTTCCGAATCGATAAAAGTAAATAGCAATTTTCTTTGGAAGCTATTTATACATATAGTTATGCGCATTTGAGAAAACCTTAATAAATCATAAAATCTCTGCAAGTTTTGTATAATTATGAAACAGCATGTATATCTTTTTATAAGCAGCATGGAATAATCATATTTCTCAAATGCCTCTGTCTCTGAGAAAGCTACTCCATCTAGGACAAAAGTCTCTGCCCTGAACGCGTGGCTTATTACGTAACCATTCCTCTATATATTGACAAGGACACAGAGCGGACGCTAAATGACGTGGCGAAGAAGGATTTCCACCCTCCTCGTCAACTGTCCAATCCAAACGTCGACGTAAGTAATCCTTCGCCCAACGTTGCACATAACGGCAGAATACTTGTTCGTTTTTACCCTGGTAGTTTAATATAATGCACAACAAAATATTTAATATAACTTATTGGAGTCAGTAACGTCGCATTTCGCAAATAAACTGAGTTTATATAGCAATTAAGGCTTATATATTGAAGAGCTAAAAATGCTTCAACGACATATGAAAACTCTTTTCGTCTACGTTTTGTACCTATACTTCAAATAAAACCAGTATATTTATGCTTTAGAGAAAAAGACCAATGTAGAAAGTAAAACTAAAAAGAATGGATGTAAAACTTTTTGCCTTATTTCACATATTGTTGATTTACAAATGAAGGAATAGTACTTTTATTTTTAGCTCCTCAACACTAGCCTAATTAATAAAATATTGAAAATGTTAATGTAAAATTATTAAGAAAATTTGAATATATATTATTATAAAGAAAACTTTTTAAAACAAAATAAAATTGAAAGAACTTTGAGAACATAGAGAAATATAAAAAGTAAACCAAAAAGATTAGACTAGAGATCATGCATTTACCTGTTTACGAGAGATTCTTGTAGTGGTGCTGCCTTGTATAACAATGTCACTGTCATCAATGTCCATACGCTGCTGTAATTCTCGTTGCCGATTTATATCGTTTGCATCATCGCCACCAATTATTCTACCTTCGCGTTCTTCCCGTTCTATTACTTCCTGCAGCTTTTTCTACCACAAAGTAAGCAGTTATATTAATCTTTTGCAGATATATGTAAATATTTAAAAATGTTACAATAAAGAAAGATAGTGTCTGTATGTACTATATTTATCTAAAAAGAGTATTATCTTATGTCATTTTATATTACTTTTTAAAAAACAAATGATTAAATTCTATTCTAATAAAAGCTTCACTTACAACGCAATCCGTAGTATCAAAGTATATGAAACACAGATTAACTTTGTGGCAGGAGATTTTCCCTCTATCATCCAATCCCAATAATATTTTATGTCTTAATAAATGTTTGTTAACTTGAGCCATACATTTCTCAAGGTTATGATTGAGCTTTATCTTGATAAACATGCAGAAAAATATTGCAGCTGCGTTCAGGATTAACCACATAACACCCAGTCCAAACAAAGTGAGGCCAGTCACGCCGGAGAACAATAAACCAAGCAGCACAACGAAGGCGGTAAATATCCAAAGGACGAGGATCCTCTTGTAGCATATGTTATACATATTAAAGCGTACATCATTCACAAGTAATTCCATTATGTGAACATAATCTTCCACTGTAAGCTGCAATATATCTGATTTATTAGATTGGTGATCATTTTATTTCTTTAGAGTACATAAGAAGAAGTGTGTGAGATTTCTCTTAATTACTTTAACATTTTAAATCACATCTTATACTTTAATTATATACAGAAAATTTTGTATTACTAAAAGTGAAATAAAAATAAAAAAAATAAAAATAAAAACATGATATATAAATATATTAAAATAATATGAATAAATTGTCATACTGAATAGCTCAATGTTGAAACATTCGCTTGTCAAGTAAAAATTTTGGATTTGTTTTCTAGAAATATCATGCTACATGTATATATGTACATATGACGTTAGAAATTGTAAGTGGGAAGAGATTCCATTATGATAAAGCCAAAGTATCTGAACATGGAATTAGTCTCAACATAAACAGTTGCGGTACTATCTCTTGGAAGACAGAAAACGTCCAAATAATGATAAGTAGATTACTCTAAAAACAAAATTCGATACTGCAAAGAGCTTACAACTTTTCTCGTAAAAGTTACAGCTATAATGAAATTAAGGATATGATAAATTACACGTACGGTTAATCCTTGTGCCATCAATTCCTCCGGTACCAATTCCGGTCTGAATCTGGCCGGAGTAATCCATGGCCACTTTGTATTTACCGGCAGAAGAGTAACTATGGTATCGCCATTGGCAAAACCCTGCCTGATGTTTCCAATCGACGTACTGATAACGTTACTCGGTGCATTTCTTCCATTGGACACATCCCTCAGGTCAATGGTCTTCAAAGAAGCGCTCTTGACTTCTGACGCTCGAACGTCAGACGGTAATTTAAGATCCGGAGTCTCGGACGTGATAGAACGACTTAAACCTGATCTATCTAAGTTAATCTGGACGGATTCGGTTGCTATCACAGCACCTCTATACTCATTGGTTTTCTTATTATTAATATCAGGTGGGTCAATACTTTTGCTGATTTTGTCGACCTGTACAGTAACCGACTCGGGCTTTATTACGGCAGGCGCGTTACTGTTGCCGGCTTTTCTTTCGACATTGGTAGCTTCTTTCGAATCTGTCTCCTCCTCAAATTGGACCCAATTCGTTTGCGCAGTTACACCAAAGGAATCAGCTGCCGTCGCCGCATTGTCAGTTATATGTGCAGCTACACTGAAGGAATCAGCTGCCGCCGCATTGTCAGTTGTATCAGTTGTATCTCCGGAACTCATGACTAAAAAAAAAAATAATATACATATACTTCTAAAAAATTTAGATATTTCAGAGATATCAACTGCTTATCGTAGATTAATAAATTTTAAAGATATTTGTGTAAAATATAAAAATAAATGTGTGTATATACAAATATGGCAAAATATTTGCGATCTGAAATGTTATCGTCTGATAAAGGCTGCTGTCTCATACTCTAATTTTCGGCCTCGCTAGCTCATTAGCGGTGCGTTTAATCGGCACTCGTCGGCGCTCGTCGGCACGTAGGCACCGCCGATTTCGTTAAAAGGGAGTGTCCCCGGATATGGAATCCCAAGACGCGAGACTCGAGACTGTCACTCTCACGTGGAACATTTCATGTTCCGTCACAAGGATATCGATAAGCGATCCCAATCGGGACGATCGTCCTCGAACTTGCAAGATACTCGTGGAACACGGAAATCCCCGGTCGATCGGGTGCATCAGGTTTCGCGCGATGGATCTCCGAGTGTCCTAAACGGGAGATCTCGCGCGTGTTGGACCGTCCGCGACGAGGAAAGGGAGAGAAAAACGGAGAATCGTGTGCGAGCCAGAAAGAAAAGGAACGTGGAGTCGAGCACGCCACGACACCGGAAAACGTACCTGAGATGATGCGGCCTGTCTCATGCCCGCGCGAGCCGAAGAGGTGCGCGACGAATCACGAAATCAAGGTGTACGACATCGGGGCACGGGACAACGGCTAGGCGATGGTAGAGGGCGGGGGAGGGACGTCGAGGCGATGGGAGGGAGTCGCAGGTCGCAGGGAGGTGTGAGGAGGTAGGCGCGACACGAAACGTAGGCGCATGTATGTGCGTGCGCCATATGCGTGTACGGTGAACACCTGCATGCGTGCGACCACGCGCGCGTGCATACCTGTGCATACCCGCGATCGCCCGTCACGTCCACGCGATCCGAACCGTGCGAATGGCCCTCGTTAGATCTTTCGCGAATTTAAATGATTTCGAATAATTGATTTTGCACGTCGAATTTTGATCAGGATAATAATTCAGAGGGAAGCTTCGAATCCACCTGTTTATCAGCGCACACCTGTATATACGACTGTTTACGTTCTGATTACACTTGCGACGTTATATATCTAGTCGAAATTGCATATCAATACGTAACAGGATTATTTACATCTTATTATGCGCGCTCTAATGCACCTCGATAGAAATGAAAGATATATTATACCTACACCAATTTCTATGTGTAGGATCATTTGAGATATATATATATATATATATATATATATCTCAACGATAATAACAACAAATAAAAGCTGATGCAGTGAAGCCAGTTAACTTAATTTTGTTAATTTCTTCAGTTTCGCTAATTTTTCAATTAGCCATTGAAATTACAATTTAATTGGGATTGGGGTCAAATAGCCAATTGAGGTGAAAAACCAAGAAGTCGTCCATACGTAAAAATGGCGCGAGTACTTATCGATGATGAAGTTTTGAAATTGAACGGAATGGATTAGTGCCGATACTTTTAAATCTTTTACGGTGCATGATCTAATTACTTCCCAAAAAGTTTTTTTTTTAAAGCGAAGCTAATCGCATCACAGTAGTTGCTTTCCATATTTTTACACAAGTGATACCGAGTCGTAAAGTCATAGTTAGATAATGACGTCATTACTCACCTACTTTGGTGATAAGGTTTGTTTTTTATTTCTTTAAACAGCAAATATACGTCTGTTTCACTTGAACTTACTGCACCACTCCAGAGACGAGTGCAAGAATTGGCAGGAATAAAAAACAGACCTAAAGTTATCGCATAACGACACAAGTTATATAACCTCACTTTTAATGCGTGTTAACATGACTCAATAAAACACACGATCTCGAGCTTATTATAGGTAAAAGCTTAATTACATCTCATTTGTCAGAATACAAATGTCGTGTTATGGCTCCATCAACAGCATTATTTTAATTGAAATTAATTTTCTTAATTCTCAATAACACTACTAATGAAACAAATATATACCATAATGGTACATGTCATTATACTCTTGTTTTAATAAAATTTTATTTGTTCCGTTAACACTGTTATTGATTTAATGAAATTATTTTCAATTAAAATAATGTTAACAATTAGTTGCCAAATTAACTTTTATAATTTGGTTTCTATGTCAGAAATGTTTTTTTTTTTTTTGCTAACCTTACTAATCTAGCCATGATAGACTTTACATTAAATACGATCAAATCATATGTCGTATCGGCGTCGACGTTTAAGACAAAATAACTTGGCGGCGGTTATTTATTGAAAAATTTTACTTTTAGCGACGATGGCGGAAACGGCGGGTAAAAATTTATTGGCCTATTATTCTTGATTGACCAACCAGAAGAAAGAGTTTCACTAATTGACCAATCAAAAAATGTTTCAAAGCATTTGTAGCATCCCAAGGAAGGAGCAGAACGAGCAGGACACAGAAGAACGAAGTGTCTGAAAGTGCATTTGATGCTAATGATCAGCTGGTGCTACATTGAGATGTGACAGTGTTGACATTAGTCCACCTGATTGTCAAAATGTACCGTTTGAATTCGATATCGCATATGTCGAGATGCGTCCTACCAAATATTAATTTTATTCGTTCAGCAGTGAATACTCGACGTAATGTACATGTTCATAAAAATGTTTTTGTGAAACTCCCGCGATTTACCGCTAGGATAGAAAAATATCGTTTCAATGGTAATCATAAATCACAGGAGAGAAAATCCAGGATGCTGCTGGCTGTATCGTTGCCTACATTAATTTTTAATTATCTTTTTGATATCGAGAATACCGACGAAGAAGTCCCGGAAGTCATTATGACGATCAAACGATCCGTATTATTAATACAGGTTAGATATGTATATATATATATATATATATATATATGGAGACTATCTTATTTAATATTTATGTAAAAATAAATATTTTAAATAGATATATAAATATTACAATTAATATTCATACATACATATAAATATTTTTTTAAATATACTTATATATAATATATATATGTTACATAATAAAATGATATTAAGAGGGATTGAATCTTCATTTGAATCTCATACGGTTTCAGCAACATTTGCTTTCCCTTTATAGAAGGGAGAATATGATAAAGCAGAGCAAATGCTACACTTAGCATTACGCCAAGCACAAACCATACAACATTATGATGCTGTTACATACATCTATGATGTAATGGCTAATCTTGCTTTCGACACTGGAAAATATGGCAAAGCAGAGAAATTGTACGTATCAGTTTTACAAAGGCTGATGTCGAATGGAGCTACAGAAGATGATATGCGAGTCATCCATATAAGCCTGAAAATGGCCAAAGTGTTTGAACATCTTGATGAGCCAAAGTAAGCAATATGATCTGTAATAACTTTACTGTGTTATTGATAAAGCATAACATGGAGAGAATTAAAGGTTTATATTCTAAAAGATTATATATAAAAATCAGAAATTCTAAATTTTAATAATTAATGATACTCATCATATTTCTAATTTCTCCTTTTCATTATTAGTACATTATAGTATATTATATATAAGATATATATTTTTATTTCACACAGGAAAGCAGAACAGGGCTATAAATTTTGTATGAAAAATTTAAAATCGCATGTTGAAAAAGATCCTGATAATAAAGACGCTGTGTTACTACAGGGTATAGCTTTTGATTGGTACGCACGAATATTACTTTCACAATCTCGATATACCGAAGCTTTGAACTATCTCCTTCAAGCTTATAATATATGTAAAAAAATGAATGGTGAAGAACACGAACAAACTGTTGTTCTGCTTAATGATTTGGGAACAATTTATTGTGTACTAGAAGAATACGATGAAGCTATTAAATATTTGTCTGCTGCAGCAAAAATAGGTAATAGATTTTAATGAATATCAATATACTTATAACTTTTATAATTATTAATTTCATATAATATACTACATAATGTTTTTAGGGGAAAACTTACCTGATATGGTTGACTTGGGTTCAATTCATGTAAATTTAGGAAGTGTGCTTCTAAAAAAAGGTTTATATGATGAAGCCAAAAAATCTTGTCAACGAGGAAGAAAAATAGCTGAAAATAAAAAGGACAATGATTCTTTGTTAGAAGCAGATGAATGTCTCAAGGAAGTAAAAAGATTACTGTCCTTGTAAATCTTTATGATTATCTCATAGTTTAATTGTTAAAAATATGTATATTTTGAGAAGATTTAGAGAATTAGCATTGTAAATATATATAGAAAAGTATTTAAAGAATTTTAATGATTGTAATAAAGTCTGAATGTTGAAATAAATTTTTTTAAATAAAATAAGCTATTTATTATTTGATACTCAACAGACTAGTCATTAAAAAAAAACACGTTTTATTTCTGGAATGTTATAATTTAATATATTGCACATGTAACGTTATTGATATAATTTGTGTATCCAGTTTTTACATTAGATTTATTATGTCACAATGAACACATTAAAACTTCACTTATAACATATTCCCATTATAAAATAAGAAATTGCAATATAAAATATTGGATAATATTTATATGATTTAAATAATGTAGAATATATACATATATGTATAATTTTTTGGAGAAACATTCTCAAAAATTTTTGCCATAAACATGATTGCCATTTTAATGTACTAGACTGTATTTACAGTTTTCTTTGCAAAATAGTTTGACAATGAATATCAATCTATAGCACCAATGTTTATTATAATATATATTTATTATAGTAATTTATCTTTGTTTTGAAAAAATTTTTTTTAGCAATTTCGTAGAGTTTATGTAAATTTTTATCTTATCTCTATCTTATTGTAAATTCAAAAGCTTTGAATTAAGCTATATTAACAGATGCACAGCTGTTTATCATATGCCATTTGCAAGTACATTACATCATGCAGAAAATATATTTAGGCTCTATTAGAAACAAAAAGATTCATTATAAACAATCATGAGAATAGATTTATTGTATAAGTAGAATGATCAATAAAGAGTTAAACTAGTCGTTCTTATTCAAATTTATACGCACAACATACATTTGTTACCATTCAATCTATAATTTTAAAAAGTACCTGCTATTTCATCCAAATATTTGACTTAATAATTTCAGATCATATCTTTCTTGTTTTAGGCACTCTAAATATGAAGATAAACAAATTAAGTACTCTGAACACTGATTATTTCTGATAATCTTTATAAGATATATATATATATATATTTCAGATTTATCTTGATAATAATCATTATAAATTCGAAATATAATTTCTAACAAACTATTTATCAAATATAGTCTCACATGCAAACTAAAAAAACATACTGAATATAATAAAAAAATGTATAGGAACAAATTGTGCAAATATGAAATCATTACTCTTTATAACAAAATATATAATTATCAAACGCATTATTTAGCTATATTAAAGTAATATCATAACATTACGTAGTATATAAATCGTAATGATCTTTAAATATTTTATATTTCACAAAATCACTGAGATTTTTTCTTAATGTAAAAATAACTGTTGGAAATCTTTTTTTGTTATACATTGTTTTTATAATCCCGTTCATTTCATAATTTTATTCTTCATTGAGACAAATGTAATTCCAGTCAATTGCATTAAAAACAAATTTCTTTTCTGTGCTGTTACTTATCTAATATATATAATGTTTTCAAAGCTTAATGAGCAAGAATGAAATGAACTGAATGAAAATACATAGTATAACAAAATAAATCATTCTATAGTCAATGTATTTCTTATTCGTAGTCTGCTATAAGAACCATCATATATACTCCAAAAAGAAGTGCCGATATCTCCATAATTGACTGCCAAAGTTTAGTGGCAGTTAAAAGTTCTGGTATTACAGAAACAGTTGCAATGTAAATAAAACCTCCTGCTGTGAAGGGAAGAATCCACCTTGTTGCAAAATCACCTAGAACACATAAGACAAAATTAAATGGAATACAAGCTAAAATCTGATGTCTATTTAAATGTTGCTATTACATATTTCTTACCCATTCCTTCTGCTAACAAAGAAACAAAAGTTCCTAATAAAGCTCCTATAGCAGTGGTCAACTGCAACATCATAGCCTACACATACAAACAAAATAAGAAAACTTTTAAAATTGCAAACTTTTTGCACATGTTGAACTTTATAATAGGTCACAACTACAGGAATCTTTGATTGTATTTCATATTTTGTATAATTTGATCAACTGACTTTTCTCAAGCAAATATAGACAATGTTGTATCTGTTTATACTTTACCTTTCTTTTACTGTATCCACTTTGTATTAGAATGGCAAAATCGCCGATTTCATGTGGAATCTCATGTAACAGTATCGTAAATGTCGTTACGTAACCAATACTATTTCCAGCCATGTAACTAGCTCCTATGGCTAGACCATCTGTAAAATTGTGTAGAAAGTCTGCTACCAAGTTCAAATAACCAGCAATCTTGATTTCACTTTCAGGTGCTTTGTGTGCTTTGGAAATTGTTTTATCGCTGTTTTTCTTCTCTTCTTTCTTCTCCTTTTTTTTCTCTAACAAATCATCTTTTTTATCTTGAGAATCATGATGGACATGTGAGTGACTATGATCGCCTTTGATAATGCGTACTGCCTTCTCCACCATTAGAAACACTGTCATCCCTAACAATATGCACAAACCAACAGATATGTCATGTTTGTGAAGTCCTGACTCATCATGGTGACTGTGGGAATGAGAATGTGAATGTGATTCTGAACATTCATGCGAATGAGGAATCATAGCATGTGGAATCAAATGAAGAAATGCATCACCCAGTAGGCCGCCGGATGCAAAACTCAGCAAGATCTTGAGCAGTGACTCACGTTGTTTAGTGTTATCCAGAGGTACAAAGAACAATATAAAAAAAGGTGCAGCAGATATGATTAAGGTCGATCCAACGGCCCTTAAAATAATATTGTTGTGATCCCTATGTAAAGTATTTGCCTGCGTCGAATAAGAGTGCTTATGATCCTGTTGATGAACATGATCATTATCATGATGATGATCATGATGATGATGATGATGATGATGCTGTTGATGTTGATGTTTATCTTGATGTTCATTTGAGTAGATTTCATTGGCTTCTTTGGAATACTTGTAACTTGGCGACTCATTGATGTCATGATCGTCGTGGCCCTCGCAGATCGCCGGCAGATTCAAAATAATGAGCGCGAGGAACATGACGACTATTATCCTTGAGATCCATTTGCGCATGGAGGCCCACCGGTTATTATCCCCTGTCATTGTGGCTTCTTTCGTAATTTCGTTGACACAATCGAGATGCGTTCACCTGATGTGACGTGAACATACGTGTCTGTGCTGGCAAGGTACAATCAAAAGCAGTTTCGCAAGCAAAATACGTCATATAAACCACGTATACCCAACTAACCTCATTCACCCTTTCTTCTTCTTTGACTTCGCTTATGATCCACTTCATCCACTTCAGTGGATCAGATTATCACGATTGATTGACCACTCACTCCTATTGCTTCCTAATCCCACCAGCGGCATCAGCCACCATTCTACCTAACCTTCAACCAGTACTGCTTTTGGCCCACTTTGACCTTCCGAGAGTTCCGAGCTCGGACATGAACTTTCACGAACTCCTTCGATAGCTTCGATAGGTTATCATCAGTTACCAACTCACCATTGTTGCCAATCTCCATGCAGCCCTCTGAAATCGCCCATCAGCTGACACCTCAAGGGTGATATTTCATTTGTACGTTTATGGCTGCGGTCTACTTGACGCTACAAACGCTTCGAAGCGATGGCTGCGTTCAGCAGAACGTTTGTTTTGCAACTGTTGGAAGTTTCCTTCGCGCTAATTGGATCATACTTTTAGATCTAGAAGAATGGTCCTATCTCAGCAGACAATCATAAAACGGTTGCAAAACTGTTGAGTCTGCTGAACGCAGCCATTCTTTGATTAGTTAATTCGTAAAATTCTTTGTTCTGATTGGTCGCTCAAACGCTTCGAAGCATTTGTAGCGTCAAGTGGACCGCAGCCCAGTCGTACGACAAATTTTTCAAGCCTGCTGATTGGCTGCAAGACAGAGAGATCCGAGGATCTCTCTGTCCTGCACACATTTGTTGTACAACGAAAACGCACAAATGAAATAGCACCCCAAGGCTGTACTTAGGCCGGAATCAGACTAGGCATTACCCCGAATCTACAATAGAGTTTTAAGCCTTAAGCCATAAGAAATGGACGAATCACAGTCAATTATTCTCCTCGGATTCGATTGTAATTGGTCAATTTCTTACGTCTTAAGACTTAAAACACGTATTGTAGATCCGGGGTTAAAGATTGAGATTGAAGATTGAAAGATTGAAATTTGACCAATCAAAACAATAGAAGCTAAAATTCCTTTGCCCTCATTGGTCAAATTTCAATTTTCAATCTTCGATCTCAATCTTCAATGCGTAGTCTGATTCCAGCCTTAATAAAGCTCTATACCAATTAAAGTAGTGCATTTCTTTGACCTGAGCCGAAATATCGACAATATTGTCCTATTGGCTATTTCGACCGCCATTGTGGCCCCAATTGTCTGTAATCCAATAAGCGCTTAGTATTGCTTATAGTATTATTGGTATATAGCACATACAGGGTGGGCTAAAAGTCTGGATACACCCAAATATCTCATAAACGATACATTTTAGAAAAAAATGTTTCAAACAAAAGTTGTAAAGCTTAAAAAGACGCATTTAACGATAGTAGTTATTTGACCTAGAATGGCGTTGCCAAGGTCACGTCAAGGTCAACTTAATTTTTTTAAATGGAACCCCCTACTTTTTATTTCATATTCTTATAGGTTATGTTGCGACGTTTTCAAAACACATATCATAAACTCTTTTCCGATGAGAACTTCCTGAGTTATGAGGGCCACTGTCACCAAGCTCAGTTGATCTAACTAGGCCAGTTAGTCTATCGGAATTGACCAATCGCATTTGTCATTTTATTTGAAGAATTGACAGATTGGTCCATTCCGATGGATTAATTGGCCCAGTTAAGTTAACTAAGCTTGGTGACAATGGCCCTAAGGCCCGTTTCTACCAACATAGATTAACTTTAATCTCGGTTCAACTTACTCTTCATCTTTTTCTAATTTCTAGAAGAAGAAAAAGATGAAGAGTTAGTTGAACCAAGGTTAAAGTTAATCTACGTTGGTAGAAACGGGCCTGAGTCTTTAAAGTTTAAATACCGCCGGCATTAGAATTATCCAAGATGTACCGCGTGGAGGTTGCTCGGTTCCAGCGAGATTAAAGTCGCTAGATTTATCTAGTGACTTTAAGCGAGATGACGAATCCTCGTCATGCGTCGCGTCTAAGTATAAATTATACTTCATGCTGTGAGTCCCGTGTCTCGTAAAGTTAGGTCACAAAACTCAAATTCGTTCAAATTCCGTTTGCATCATTTCACTACTGAATTGAGTAGCCTTTTTTCTGCGATTTCCACCGAAATGTCTCACCACAGCTTGAAGTCTTCCAGCCATGGGTACTGCGAAGCTATCTTCTCGACTTCGCCGAGGAGTTCTAACAAGGAAAACACCGTCCCCACGATAAAAACGTAAGGCCAAGTTTGCTTGATATTGTTTAACCGTCACTTGCAAGATGAGAGAATGGAAAATTATCGTACGTCATGGAGATAAACATTGCGTAAACCACACATTGTTTTCAAATAAAATATTTTTCCATTTTTATTTATGTTTATATAAGTCAAATATACAAATGTAGTTATATTAAAACAATATATGTAAAAATTAAAAATGGTTTGATTTTCAAGTCCGACATTCTTTCTTTTCATTTAGGGCCGGTTGTTCTATTTTCAGATAAACTATGTGATAATTTATCTATTAGGTAAATAAAAGATAAAAGTGAGCATAAGGGAGTAAAACAGTGAACTGAAGTTTTCTGAAAGATAGAACAACATAGCCTTAATCTTATTATGCTTGTTAAATATAAATAAAATAACTTGCCAAAATAAAATGACTCTTTTATTGCAGAAAAAAAAATGTACATCCTCCTTTGTCCAAAGAATCATCAGCTTCAACAAAGGGACAGAACACAAACAAGGTAGTACGATGTCCTTTACAGAAGGAATCTTCAAAACCTGAAATAGCAGAAACCTTAGGGCCTCCGAGCAAATCATCTAATACAGAATCATGTTCGAAACTTACAAACCTAGCAAAACAAGAAGACATATCTAGTAATGTCACATCCATTGAAAGGAATATAAAAACTCCAATTAAAACAACAAAATTTATTGGATTGTTTAATGAAAAAACACCTGCCATACAATTCTATACACCTAAGCAATCGAGAATAACAAATACACCTAGTGCCAATACCAAATTCAATGTTTTATCCAATACAAGGACACCTGTGAAACGTTACTTCAACGATCATGCTCTATCGCAGAGCACACCGGACTGTTTTAATGTAGTTCACTTGGAAACTCCATCCCAGAAAATTGATGACATAGTTGTTGGAGAGCAGACAATGTATGATGGTGAAAGTAGCAATCTTACAGTTGGAATACGCATCAGACCCTTACATTCCAAGTAAATGAAATTAAACAGTATATAATAAATTTTTACATTTGTGTGTACATTTTTTTCATTTATTTAAAATGGAGATATTCATGTATTAAATTATAATCTTTGAAAGACATACATTTGTACATAATGTTTCTTCTTGATAAAATTATTTTACCAATAAGATATTAAGATTAAAAGATTTTATGTTTTGATTTTCTTTGTTTTTAATTAATTTTTTTAATTTCTATTTTTATTCTATGTTATACTAGCAAACAGTATTTTATTACACAATATTTATAATTTCAGAGAATTAAATGATTCAAAGATTACTACAATCGTGGAAGGAAATGGTCAAAATGTTGTTGTGGAATGTGACTCTGCGCATCACACTTTTATGTATGATCATTGCTTTGTTTCATACAACGACCCGCTTACATCTGGTCACGCCAGTCAAGAGGTCGTCTTTCGCAATATGGTATTGCCCTTAGTACAAAATGCTTTCGAGGGATACAATGTCTGCTTATTTGCATATGGACAGACAGGATCTGGAAAAAGTTATAGTTTAATGGGTACAGAATCTGTGCAATTAAGCGCAACGCCATTTGACGAGAGAGTCGGTATCATACCAAGATTTTGCCAGGAAATATTTACACGAACGCCTGACAATCCACAGATCGAAACTACCGTAGAAATTAGCTATTTTGAAATATATAATGAAAAAATACATGATCTTTTGGCGAATACAAATAATGGATCGAAAAAGGCTCCCCTTAAAGTAAGGGAGCATCCTGTCTTTGGACCCTATGTCGTAGATTTGAGCCAGCATTGTGTGCAAAATTACAAAGACTTACAGGTACTTTCATAATTTCATGACGTGATTACGATTGTTTAATATACTTATTTCTTTGTTGACGCAATCTTTTTAGACTTGGCTTAAAGTGGGAAACTCGCAAAGAGCCACAGCCGCTACTGGTATGAATGAGAAAAGCTCACGATCTCACAGCATTTTCAGTATTATATTAACTCAGACGCATTTAGATAACAAATTAGATTGTGAGCCACTTGATGCTGATCGTCGTAGTAAAATAAATTTGGTTGACTTAGCTGGTAGTGAGAGATTGAGCCAAACTTCTGCAACTGGTGATAGATTAAGGGTCAGTTTCTGATACAATATTTTATTCACAAAATTCATTAAATAATTGACAATACTGTATAATATATATATCGCTTTGTTCAACAGGAAGGTGTATCTATTAACAAGTCTTTACTTACCTTGGGAAAAGTAATTGCATCACTCACAGAGAACACAAACAATCGTAAACAAGGTTTTGTGCCGTACCGTGAATCAGTATTGACGTGGCTATTAAAGGTAAGTATTATTTTAAATCCGTATAACAAATCAAACTAACAAAGACTCCTTATAAATCTCAAAAGAAATTGGAAAGAATAAGGGCAATAGGAGTCAGGTGCAGAAGACGTCGCGCAAATAATACATCCATAAAGTATGAAACTATTCTACTAAATGCGCGTACATATTTCGGCTCACTTTTGAGCCTTCTTCAGAGAACACAAACTAATATAAATAAACTGTGAATAAAAATTATTTTGTCATGGTGAGCTCCCCTAACATCGAGAATATCAATGTCAGAAATTAAACCCAAATAAGAACGAAAGAAAAAAAAAAGAAAGGAAATATTGGAAATATTGATATAGAGAATATGGAAAACTAATTTATCAAAAAACTTTAAGATTATAATTAATTATCCCGAAAATAAGGACGCTCACCGTGATCAGTGTCGCTTGTACACAGTAATGAGTCTCTCTGGCGTGATTTTTGATTACTCTCCAACTTTCATTTTCTTGGAATTGATTAATATTTTAATATTAGATTTTTCCATTTGTAATCTCGAAAAATACTAGCTGAATCTAAAAGTGACTCACTGTGTCTGATATTGACTGACCAACATATCAAGAACATACCGGTTTTTTAATCATTAATAGTAATGTTTGTGCGATATGGTGCTTTGTGATCACGGTGAGCGTCCTTATTTTCGGGATAATTAATTGTAATCTTAAAGTTTTTGATAAATTAGTGTTTTCCATATTCTCTATATCGATATTTCCAATATTTCCTTTCTTTTTTCTTTTTCTTTCATTCTTATTTCGGTTTAATTTCTGGCATTTATATTTTCGATGTTAGGGGAGCTCACCATGACAAGATAATTTTTATTCACAGTTTATGTATGTTAGTTTGTGTTGTCTCTGAAGAAGGCTGAAAAGTGAGCCGAAACATGTAAGCGCGTTTAATAGAATAAAAAAGTTTTACGTTTTATATGGATGTATTATTTGTGCGACGTCTTCTGCGCCTGACTCCTATTGCCCTTATTCTTTCCAATTTCTTAAGTACTATTTTATTTGTGTATATTTCGAATTAACGGAAATGCGAAAATTACTGCAAATCCAATAAGCACGGTCTTTAAAAAAATGAAAGCTTAAAATATCTTTAAAAAGATATAAATAAATAAATATAGACTTTATGCGATAATCCTTACATGATCTGTTCTAGTCTGTTATAGAATATTATTATATATTAATACTTTTCTACTTAATGCCCTTTGTGATTATATAAAATAGCAATCTGCTTTGTATGATTGCCAAGATAAATAAATTTAGATAGTTTGTGGTTTGTGAATATATTTTTCTACTAAAAAGGAAAGAAAAAAATAGACATCTATGTATATCCTTTAAATTATTATTACTATATCTTACAATAATTTTTTGCTTAATGTTTACAAGTAATTGAATAACGTTATTTGAATTATGCAAGTATGGAAAGTAAAAACGTTTGTGACAGCAACATAATTTTGTTGTTTTATCGTACAAACTAAAATACATATTTTAAGATAATTGTTATATCACATGTAAAATAACTGCAAGTAAAGTAAAAGCATATCGATTAATTCCGGCTCCTACGATATTTCTTCATCTCTCTAAAAAAAATTAAAATCTTATTTCTCAGAACTAAGTACATCGTACATTAACGTGTCAGCATAATAATAATAATATTATGTACTTAAATTAACTTATTTCGCTATACACTTATTATAAGAATGTATTCAGTCTTATATGTCAAGCAGTTAATTCGTGAAGTTCTATTGGAATTAACTTCATTGAAGTTTCATCATTGATTTTGCTGAATTTTTTATATGAAAATCACTAAAACGTATAATTCTAAATATATTTTCTCTTATTGTCTCAAGAAAAATAACTGATTCTAAAATTACAATTGATTTAATCCTTGTATGCATATAGTTTTTGATACCTTTAATACATACGATGGGTCTTTCGTGTCCTGGATTAATTTTCATTACTTTTACAAGTATATAAAAATTATTAAGCAATTTTTACATATATTTTGACATCTTTAGAAAGTTGAATATTTATATCTAATAAATTATATATAAATTGTTATACATATATAATTGTATATAACATTGCTATATATATAATATTGTTGTATATAAATCAAAGAAAAGAAATTCGCAGGACACGAATGACCCGAAGGTGTATATTAATAATATTTTCTCTTTTTTACTTTTTCAATAGTATAAATCTAATTCGTGCAAACGTCAATATGATTTACAAAATTTAACAGTCACGATAAGCAGTTTTAGTGATTGACATTTTTAGAAGCATATTAGCATTTACATTTACGCAGATATTTATTAAATGACTAGCGTATGATTAATGCTGAATAAATTTATGCTTGCATAATGTATAACCGAAAAAATGTGTGAAGTAGTAATGATAAAATATTTCTGTTTACACAAATACTTCAGTATAAATCTTAATTTAACTTTATCTTATTCATTGAAAGGAATTCATTTTACTTACTTCTGCTTTTAAGGATATAACTAGTTCCAATTTAAGTACTTAATTTATGCATCTATAATTTTAAAAAATAATGCTGCGCATATACATGCTATAAAATACAAAAAAATTTTTTAATTGATTCTCTTATTGATTCTCATTTTGTAACGTATTTTCAGAAACGTAGCATTTAATGATCATAAACCTAAAATATTAACTTATAATTAACTAAAAACTTCGTTATGTATGCGTATTTGTATCTATATCTGCATGTTAAGCTTATCTTAATATAAAATTTAAAATTAATATTATTGTAGTGACCATTATGTATAATACTAAGAGGCTATGATTTCTCTGCACCGCATGACGATTTCGCCGATTTATTTCGGTCAGCGTCTACGATTTTTCTCTCATTGTCGTTCTCCTCTTCTTCTTGGATTCCTTCATGACAGGAATCGCTTCGTGATTTACTTCTTATGTAAACTGCCAGATTTCTTCTTTTCATTTCTTTGCAAAGGTGACAGTTTTCCTTGGATTGCTGCTGTACGGTTCGTTGATTTTCCACTGATTTTCCTAAACAATAATGCCAAATAGACTAATAAGAAGAGAAATAATTCAACTTTTTTCACCGATTGAGATAAATGTTTCTGCCATATTTTTTTGAAATATTCAATATGCGTACTTATAATAGCAATTGAAAATGTTTTCATTCTGTCGATAAAAATTTTATGTTGCATTTTACAAGTTATATAAAACTTGTTCGTCAAACCGGTTTGTTTATTCTTTGGTATACCGGTTCTAAGTCTGCTAAGACTTATAACGTAACACTTTTCTCGATAAGTCGACATGTGATACAGTTTATGAGTGATAAAAATTCCAAGTATTTTTCAAAGAAAATCTATCTAACATTCCAGTAATCAAAGAAAATGTCAGAACTATCGACATTTTCTTCGCAAAATGAAATCGATTTATACTCGAATACCGAACTCTCATTGAAATAATCATACAATGCTAATGAAGTGAGTCTTTTGCAATTAATATGTATATTTCATAATATTTTATATCTGAAAAAATACAGACTAAAGGAATTTAAATTATCTATTTATTATTAAATAAATTGACAAATTCTTCGTTGTTTATTTGAGACGAAAGTCATTTGCTTTACTGAATCGTACTATGCACGTGTACATTTACAAGCTTTTGAAATCTAGTTACATTTACTATCACTAATAAATGATTAGAAATAAACAAACGAAATTTTCAGCGAATAGATTAATTATACTGCGTATAATGCGTTCTTTATATAGCTATTTAGCTTGTTGAATGTAATTAGTTTCTATTTTGCGTCAACGAAACATACTGGTGTATAACGCCGGTGACCGTCACAGCTTCAGTGTTAATTGAAGAAAAACGAGAACAAAAAATTCCGACGTACAATCTTGAACGCGTTCACTTGTAGCGCCAGATGATTATAGCTTAGCTCGTGAGTCACGGAAATCCGTCGTTTCACCTCGTAGAGATACTCGGGGTACTACGTGCAATAATCTTGGGAATAATCGCAAATACACTGACGGATCGCAATTATATTCTTAAATGGATGATTAATCTGACAGAAACGATTCAGCCGCCTGGAAGAATATGCTTGGAATATGCGTTTTAAAATTTGCCTCGTGAGAGTTTCTACTCCCAAGTCTGATTAACATAATTGAAATTCAAGGTTTTCATGATTAATGCCGAGTATCCCCCGCGTTGAATGTTGAAAACAATCCGCTGATTGATAAGGAGAGATGCTGTTGCGCTTGAAACGCGATCGGTATAATGCGCGGTCGCCTAAAGGAACTAAAAATAGACACGTGTGTATCACAGAAACGTAGCATACGCATGACAGACGCTTGAAACAATCAAAATAGGATAATGCGGATTGTTCGATCGTGTCTCGAGATACAGTCTTTTCTCCTTAAACGGTATTGAATTAAATTCTTAAATTATTGTAGAAAAATTATGATTTCAATTTTACTGAAGAATTTGCTGTTTCTCAAAGTGTCAAATATCACAGTTCTTACGTAATCGATATAGTAGTGTCGATAACATGTGTAATTCATGCGTACGTTGTTTTCGCGATGTAATTAATTTTTAATCGATGCACTTTTTTCTTTAAATTTAAAAATTATAACGCGTTTCAATCAAATATTTGTTTTTATCTTGATACAATATATTACAACTTATCTCCCAAATGTGATAACGTGAAAATTTTTTTGTTATTTATCTCCGTTAATAAAGACGCAATAAACACAAGCATATCGAAGTGTTATTGCCATTACAGTCACTAGACGATGTAAAGCGAGAAATGAAGAATGCCGAGATAGGTAAATTCGCAAATAGATATTTCGTGCCACTAATTTGTTTAATTATGTAACTCTTATCTCGTTTGACGACGTAAACAAAGCCGACGATTTGCATGAGCAATATACGGTAACGCACGTGTCTTTTTCGATATAAAAAGACACGTGCATTGGTTTTTTTATAAGGAGATAATTTGTTTTTTTTTTTAAGCAGTTAGCCAATATCGTCATTATTAGCGTAAATCATATCTTGAAGCCGTTTGTTTTAAAAAAGAATTGTAAATAGTTGTCGTATAAAAGAAATATTACTGATTGAATAAATGCGCTCTAATAGAAATCAAAAGCGCAGATTCTCGCGATAACATAATTATTTTCCCGCAACGACGCAAAGTATATTTAAATTATAGTGATTTAATATATATGATAATATATGATAAAGAGAATATTGCATTATTTATTCGTGCCGCTATGACGTGCTTGAGCGATTTTTTTTTTTTTTTTTTTTTTTAGTGGGAATATACTTATTAACAGGGTACTGATGCAGATAGTATTTTAAAATTGCACGTAGTAGAAGGAGAGTATACATAATACAATGTGATATATATTTAGCATTTTTAATCTACTTAACAGATATATCTTGCAGCGTAAAATATGATGACGCTATTATACAAAACAGCTTTGTTCGCAAATCGTTTCGCGATATCTCGCCACTAGTAGCGCGAATATCGACGAAATTTGACAAATGTAACTGCGTTTTTTCGATATCTGCAATTGCAATAATTTTTTAGTACTCTTTACACATTATATTTCAAAAGAATATTATATTTTTCCCTTTCCTGAGTAGTTTTGTATTTATTTCGTATCTGATTTTTATCATAACTATGATAAAAATTTTTTTCATAGTATGGTAGAAAAAAGGGGAAGAGAAACTATTGTAAATCTTATCATAGAGTAGTTGCAACATTTTTGTGAGCGTAATAGATAATTTTAGAAAATTTATTTTTATAATTGCAATAACTTTTATTGTCGCTGCCAATGTATTTATGTGTAACTACTCATCCAAATAACAAACATCTATCCCCCCCTCCCCGCTATATTACACGGACAAATATAACTCGTTTGCGTAACTACGCGGCTAACAACCACGAAGAGTAACAATTATAGTTCTTGCAATTTCCACGCAACATCCGATGAAAGTATTCGCATTCCGTCCGGAACTTCCGGAATGCAGCTGCCTTAATTTTTCTGCAGTTTCTTTCATCGCTTCTTTAGTTTGCCTCACCTTGACTGCTTTATCTTAATCGGTTTATTGCCTTGCTTTATTATCCCGTTTTATTATTGTGCTCTCAATATGTGGGTATTATTGTAGTATTTACGTATCTCGTGTATTTCAAGAAAAGAAGAAACTAGATAGAAAATTGCGGATTATCAGGTTTCACCCGGAAAATGTTTCAAAATAAAATAAGGCAATAAAGTAAGACTTTCTTTTTCGCTTTTTTTTCTTGTGTCGATCATATAAGGTAATGTCGATACGGTCGTTTGGAGTACTTTCCCTATTTGCGTGGACAACTTAATAGGAGAATACTCGAAGAGTCTTTCGATCGATATCGAGTAGCCGGTAACGAGAAATCTTGGAAGAAATAGTCCCGTATGTGTAAACTATCTGAAGGTTTCTTAATTTCGAGGAGTCAGGTGAATAAATGAAGAAATTGTACACTTGTAATGAATTAATTAACGGATGAATATCTAAATACCAGACTCCAGAATTATAAAATTAGAGATAAGATACGTCTTTCTGCACTGAAAGGCGAAGAAATATCATCTTGAGATAATTTGCCACCTGAGTCCTCATAATTTTTTCTGGCCAAACATGATGTTTATCTTATACAATTTATTTTGGGAATTTCGTTTAAAGTAGCACAGGTGGGCAAAGATTGAAAAAGGAAAGTTTTGCTCGTAAGATTGTACTTCAGAGCATCTTTTATTTATATTGAAAAATTGTCCCGCATTCTGCTTCCAAAAATACATCGAGTAAATTGCTAATTAATTTCGCGGCACATCTGCGACAATATTCACAAAACATTGTATGTCGAGAAAGAAAGAGGAATCTTATCCAGTACAAAAAATTTTTACATAATAAATTTAAGTGAGCTTCATCTGTGAGAATGTTTTGCATAACGCGCAATCAAACTTTTCATAAGAAAAATTTTAGGGAGTATCAATTTTCAAATCTTTAATTTTTATTAGATATTTCGGTATTTATAATTTTAAATTGAAATTCTGTCCTGTGTGTGAATTAAAGAGAACAGTTATTTTCAGATTTTCTTTGAATTTTAAGGATTTAAAATCTGGATATTTAAGGATTTTTAATCTATTAGCAACTTGATATTAAAATTTTTATCACTGATGTTAATAGAAAAAAATTTCACTTCATATTTCCGCCTTTTAGGGAAAAGGTTACATGATCGGTACTTTAGGGCACGTTCAGATTCCCACCCGAATGCTCCCAGATGTTTTATCCTTGTTTACATTGTTGACCCTCGTGGGATTCTAATGGGAATCTGAACATAGCCTGACCATTCGCGAAAAAAAATTTACCTTTATGTTTATTCGAAGAAACTTGGTCGCGACAAATATAAGAGGACCTTTATCGTTTACTGCTACTTGTTTTAGAACGCGCTTGTAGTTTATCAATTAATGAGCCATTCTAAGGTCATCTAATGCTAGAAAATGCGTTTATTTTCGCAATACGAATTTATTGCGTTCCACCGTTAAAATATTCCATCAAGATTTTCCATCAAATATCGAATCAAATATAAACTTATTATCTAAATCATGATAATTTAATGAGGCGAAGAAAGGGTTCTATACTTACTGCTGTCGCACTTGGAATAGTCTCTGTTCCACGACTGCTCATAGTCGTGGTACTGCGGATTCCTCAAGTATCCGTAGGTAAACAGCTCTGGTATGTAAACGAGATCCATGGTCCCTCGTAGTGGTTCACGTTGGTCAACGCTTAATAATGTTAAATGAAAGGGTGATGGGATTCTATCGTCAAATTCTCGTTAGCCCGTCTTTCTTCTTGTTGATGTTTGCAAGCTGCTCCGAGACCGCTTTCGTTAGAGGATCGGTTGATAAGACGGGATCGTCACACGTCCCGTTACGCCCGGATTGTAGAAACGCGGTTTCTTCTTCCGCGAGAAGAAGAGAGAAAGAAAGAAAAGAAGAAGCGGACTCTCGTCGCCGATGGCTCTCGCTTTGGACTAACGAAGCGTAGAGTGGCGTGGACGCTAACGGCTAAAGCGTGTAATGTTTATCTGTTGAGTCTTTTCCCCACTCGGCTTCACCGGTTTTCCATCCGTCCTTCCCTTTTACCGCTTCTTCTGTTCAACACATCTTCCCTCCCTCCGTTCTTCGGGACGCTTACGCTCGCGTTTACGTTCTCGGTGCCCCACCTTCAGCTCCGCCAATCACCTTCGTCGTTTCTTGTGGATTTGTGCGACGCGCAAAAGGTAATGACATACGCAACGAGGAGAACCGCACGCGTGCTTGCGTGCGTGAATGCGTGCGTACGTCTGTGCGTGCGCACACGCGTACGCGACGGCATGCGTACGTGCGCACTAATGCGTACGCTCTGGCACCGAAGCCTCATTTTTGTTTTCATCGTTTTTACTTATTATAAAAAACCTTGCTTCTTTTACAATGGCATATCGATAAGATATTGTACTATTCGATTATGAAAAATATATCGCATCATCCATATATTACATTATCGCATCCGGTGTTTTTAAAGGCACTGTTCAGAATGAAATCATTATCTTCTTCCTGTCTTTTTACCATTTTTTTGTTATTATATACGATAATATATGTACATAATATAATAATGACGTATTAATATATTAAAATATGTTATTGTCTAATTTTATCAAAATATTAAAATTTAATAGTATTATTATTATATTATATTTAATGGAACTTCTTTTTTGTTTAAAGTAATGGAAACCGTTTCTTCCGTTATCCTCCGTAAATATTTAAAAGGTATTGGTTCTTAAAATACTGCTGCATTTATGCCTATTTTTAGTTCTAATAATTAGAAAAAGAAGAGCAAATTAAATCACAAATGGACATTAAACACTTAAGATAACTTTGAGTTTTCGTTTGTACTACTTTGTTTATATTTCTATTTTTAACTAAATATAAATATAAATAAGACATAACAAAAGATAAAATGATAATGTACGAAATTATTAGTGCATTTTTAGTTTATCGCGTGAAAAAAACATGAACACAGAACAGCATTCCATTCTGCTGACTTTGTATTATAAATACAATCAGCTTTTTGCGACTGATTCATATTTTACACGTGAACAAGTTACGATCACAAATAATTATAGCCATCAAAGCACATCGCAATGTTTGTGAAATATTCAATCGAAGATTTTTTTTTTATTATTTCAATAAATCACTCTTCATCACATGTACAGTAGTTTTTTAAGATCTATATATACGCAAGTAAACTTGCACGAAGGATGATATTATACAAGTGTATCTCAATAATGATCGTGCTTTATGATTGGCGTACTCGTCACGAGTCTTATTCTCATGATATTTTTGTGATATTTATCAGAGATCATCGCATGTTTCGATCAGATTAGCGAAATAGTAAGTCGAAAAATGTGCGTGACACTCTTGCCTTTGTTTCTCGATTCCTTCACTTTCGGCATTTATATAATCCATATACATACCATTATTATCTTGCTTTAATGTTTCATTCCTAATTTTCCTTGTAACTTTTTCTACCTGTGCGAAACATTCATTTAGATACTAATCTTTTGCTGCATTCTTTTCTTCCTTCATCAAAAGCTTTTTTTTTAATGTCTCACCGCTTTCTTTTCATATCTACGGCTTTCATTAATATTTTCGTTAATGAAAATATTGTGTTAAAAATTTAATTTACTTTTTTCCATTTTTGCCATATAAGATATAAGTTTATCAATTCATTGTGATAAGATACAATCAAATATAATGTACGCAGGAATCCAATTGCCACTCTCTCTTTCTCTCTTAAAATACTTTCTATTAATTAAAATACTATCTATTAAAATCAGGGTTGGTAAAAAACATGTTTTAAACGCGTTTTAAACAGTTTAAAATATGCTTAGTTGATGTTTTTAATATGTTTTAAATATGTTTTTTATAGTACTGCTTAAAGCATATTTGAAGCATTAAAAACGTAATTAAGAAGAAACACAATGTTTTATTCTTAAAAAAAAAAACATTAGTCTTTATCAACCCTGATTAAAATACTTTATCTGTACATATACACATTCTTTCAAATACTATTAATTCCTTCATTTTAATATCTTTGTCTATGATCTCTCATTAATAATTAATAAAATTAGTAATATGTAATATATGGAATATTCTGCAAGTTCATTTCGAAAACAATGTTTTCCATAATTTCACATAAATTTGCGTTTATCAATGATAAAATTTTCTTAATTGCATGCAAAAAAGGAAATTTTAAGGTCATCGTAAAAATCTATTTTAAGATAACAGTTTCGTAGTATAGTATTTACCTAGTATTAGCATTACGAGCAGGAAAAATTTCACTCGCAAACAAACAGTTATATGTTTCAGTAATTCCTATACTGTTCGTAATTATTATATAAAATATTTAGGCATAAAATTTGATATATTTCAAAACTTGAAATATTGAAAGTTTATTCTTCATATATTATAGGACATAGTATTTTGAATTGATTTATATTTTCCACCGGATTATTTAAATCCTTCTTTATTTGCAAGCTGTGAAGAATTGCGAATTGGGCTAATATAAGATAAAAAATAAACGATTTATTGAGAGATCGTATATGTGAATACAGAAGATTATACAGAATAAGATAAAAATCTAAAAGATCAGAATTAACAAGGGAAAATCCGGAAGTTTATCTTAAGAACCGTAAAAATAAATAATATAAGAAGGGAAATTACCTTTTGAAATGTTATTTCTTATTTACTACTTATTTGCTACTTAAGAAGATAATGTGCTGTTGATGAATGACAGTGTAGTCCGATAACGATGTGCGATTGAATTTACGAATGATCAGATTTGCGATCGCTTTTAATGTTTGATATCATACACGATAGAGGCTGTATTTTTTACCATGTACAATGTGAATAAATTATGTAGACAAAAAGCAAATTAAAATATGTAAAAACAAATATTTTTGCAGGAGAGCCTAGGAGGAAATTCACGAACAGCAATGTTGGGAACGGTGTCACCGGCCAACATCCACGTAGAGGAGACCTTGGCGACTCTTCGATATGCGTGTCAGGCTCGAGCTATAGTTAATCGAATCCGCATCAATGAAGATCCGCACGACCGGCTAATTCGGTATAACATCTCCTGAGGTTTAATTTTTAATTCGATAAAAACTCCATGTTTTCACTGTAGTGTCATATGTTATACAAATGCTACGAATATGTCAGAGGCAAATTATACAAAAGAATTGAATCTCATTATCGTAATAGATTTTAACAAAAAGGTAATTTAATGACTTATCTCAAAGTGAATTAAAGGCTGAAGTACTACGTTTACGAGGGGTGCGCGAAGGATATGAGAAGCAGTGTGGAGTTGTTCCTCGTCAGTTGCTCCATCGTTTCGACTCGAAGGATCAATGGGGAAGGGATATCATCCGTCAGCAAAAGGAAATTGACAAACTGAAAGATCAATTGAAAAAAACGGAAGAACAGTTGGCTGTTACTCAGATGTAAGTGAAATAATTTGGTCTCTTAATACGTAAGATCAAAAAGTAAATAAGACAATAATATTTAAATTCATCTGTAATAATATCACATTTTTAATTTAAAATTATCGATTTTTTTCATTCATCTTTCGAAAAAACAATGCAGCTGTGATGATTTTGTAAAATTCTGAATTTGAAAATATTATAATTGTGAAATATGATTTTTTAATTTGATAATGTTTTATTCTCAGTTCTCGTTACATTATTTTTATTATCAAGGGCTGAAAACTATAATGTAATCTTATTCTCGTAATAAAACTTATTCAAGTTTCAGGATTAATATGCCCTTATAAATGAAGCTTGTTGCGAGTGCAAATACGGTGTTATTGAGAGTTTCGTAAATGTGACTAGCGATTTTTGCGATGTACGTTAAATCGGTAAAACTTAATCGTTAGCCACATATAATTACAGGAGTTCACGCGAAAAGTTAGAAAGAGCTGAAGAGAAGAAAAGCTCGGAGCTTAAATATTTGCGTCGTTGCGGAGTCGCCATCGAGATTGATCTCCAAGAGCGAGATAAGCATCCGTGTCTCGTAAATCTCACGGCAGATCCTATGTTATCTGGTACACTTTTATATATCATACCTCCAGGTTTGGTTCGTATCGGAAAGAATGCTCCGACGCATAAACATGAAGCCACTTTTAAACAATTGGATATCCTATTGGACGGACCTCTTGTTAGAGAATTGCATTGGTTAGTCAACGGATTGTATGTATGTGTGTGTGTGTTTTATGTTTAGGCAAAGTAGAAAAGAGGAAAAAGGAGAGAGAATGGATCGGTGTGGGAGAAAAGGAGAGCTATTCTGTTAATGTTGATGCTGAATTTTCTTTTCTGTCTAATATATTTTAGATGTGCTATGAATATATTCTCTGTCTTGTACTAGTTTCAAAAGTTCCGTGGATTTCTGAGAAATATAAAATGTTATAATTAATTTAGGCTCCTACAAACTATTATTTTTGAATAATTATACTATATGCGATCATAAAGCTGATTGCCTTCCTGAAAAATATATGAACGTCTTTTAAGTTTTATATTTGTAATGTCAACATCATAAAGATGCTGTCTTTTCACGGGAAGGCCAGTTATAAATCCGAGATTTTTCATCGTTTTATTTCTTCATTGTAATATTTGTATATTTTTTGAATTATAAATATTTTCAATTCCGATTCGATATCACATTAAGAGAGTAAACATTCTCTTATTACTTTATTAGAACTTACAATTAGATAAGAATTTTTCTCGTTTCCTCACAACTTCTGTAAATTATAACAGCTAATTCTAGGAACTTTTCGAAGCTACATTTCTATTTATCAGCATGCTTTGCATCGTTTATCTCTTATGACAAGCCCAATTATTTCTAATTCTAATGCATGTCGCTATTTTTACCCAACAAAGCAGATAATAATTATTGATATATATAAATTATTTTATCACAATTAGATGGACTGGCAGACGCGTGAAACGGATTCAGTGTTTTCATACTTCTATGAACCTTGTTAATTTTATATGTATAATGTTTATATTTTTTTTATAATTAATCTTTATCATATTCCTGTAATCTCAGTATTATGTCGCATTATACAGGTCTCATCTTCATTTATGAGGTCATCTTCATTCACTGAATAAATTGGAATTTGAACAAGAGTCAAGAATCTACGACGCAATACTTAAATTTTATTTGTTGTTGCTAATAAATATACGATGAATTGTAATTTGTTTGCAAAATAGATGCATTTATGTATGTGTTACTTGGCAAAAACTACTTATAGTTACTTGACAAAAAGTACTTATAGAAATGCTTATTTTAACTTTCTGCTGAGTATTTGAATCCTGTTATATTAAATGACTAATGCCATTTTTTAATCTTTCACTTATATATTATTAATTAAAATATCGTATACGATTATTTGTTATATCTTCTTTTTTTCTTCCCTCTAGTGCTATCGAAAATAACGGAAAAAAATTAATTTTGACACCCGAGAAGGGCGCGGACACTTATGTCAATGGGCAGGTAATGACAACGGATTAATTGTTAATATAGAAAAAAGATAAATATATTAAATAAAAATATTTCTCTATTTTCCTTTAGATGGTAACTGGAAGAATTATGCTTAATCATGGTGATCGCATAGTCATCGGCGGTAATCACTATTTCAAAGTTCTAAATCCATTTGATGAATCCTACAATGTCAAGCGTTCCACACAAGCGATAGATTTTGAATTTGCGCACCAAGAAATTCTTCAAATACAAGAGAAAAAGTATGTATTAAAACAATTTTACACAGGAGAAAATCTCCAATTTTAAACAGGAGAAAATCTCCAATATAAAATTTTAAGATCCAGTTTTTTTTAAACTAAAATGTAATTGTTTATACAAAAAATCGCTAGTGATAACGGTAAGAAATTTATTTACTGTTGAAGAGAATCTATTCAAAATATTTTATGTTTTTGCACTTGCTATCTCTTATCATTAGTGACGCAAATAGTTCCGTATCTATCGATAATCGTTGGCATAAATACTTGTATATGTAATATAATTGCGTCTTGTAATTTTTTTGATAAATACTATCAGAAATTATCACGAGTTTATCAGTTTCTAAAAAACAGTATATCTATATTTTCTTCAAATATAGATTAAGAGCAGAATTGGAAGAGTCCAAACAACAAGCAATAAAGGAACTCGAAAATGCCAAGCGCGAAGTGGAATGGCAACTCGGTTCGCAAAAATCAACGTACGAGCGGGAAATTGAAGTTCTTGGTTCCACTCTGAAAGAGCAAAATCAGGCACTCGAGCAAATTAATCGTAGAAAAAAGGAGCTAGAATTGGAAAAGGAGTTACTCGTTAAGGAGGTAGAAGTCAATAATAAAATTAAAAAGATACGATTGGAACAAAGTCATGCGAAACTATCACCGTACAAATCGAATTTCCTGCAAGAACTTGAGGGTATTTTGAATGAGAAAACTGCGGACATTGAGAATGTGCTAAAAACGAAACTTAACGGGAAAGCTATAACTGCCGGTGGAATCAGTCTACATGAGATGCAAATACTTGTCAAGGAAGCGACTCAGCGATGTCAAGAAGTCGGATATCTTTATGTGAGAATTTATTTCATAATAATTATATATACGAATTGTTTAAAATCATTATAAGTAGAACCCATAATTTCTAATGCAAAAAATTATTTAAAAATATAGTTGATTACTTGGGTATATATTTTATACGCAATTTTTATTCTTATATTTTTACTCTAAATTTTTCTCCGAATTCTAGGAATTTGAACAACAACAAACAGTAATGGAAAAGAATTTGCAGTCAGTGATTCGCGTTTGTGATAGGACTAATTCGATGGAAACGCTGTGGCAAGCGACAGATTTTTTGGATTGGGTTTATCGGCTGAGAAATAACGATATAGAAGATTCGATAAAGGAATTGCAGAGTAGTAAATTAAATTGGGAGTGTGACGAAAGTAAGCATACGGAAGTATTTGAAGATTCTTTAAATAACAGTAAGATCTCGATAAATATGACCCCTGTAAAGAGACAATTGAACGAGAGTATCCACCAATTCTCGATGGACGCGTCGATGCTGGAAGCGACGATGAACGATACATCCTTAATACATGATCAACAGGAGAATGTAAATGCATGTCTCACTCAAATCGAAGTTGCCGCAAAAACATTGAAAAAGTTATGCCATCGGTATCAAAACCACGACACTAAATCGATCGTTGAATCATTGATTAAGATGCAAGATATTGTCGAGTCTTTAAAAAATATCTTCCAGAGTAAAGATTCGAGTGAGTGCGAGGATGTGAGTGCAAATTCGATAAACAGTGCCAATAATACTGTTATCGACATGTCGAACGACGTAAAGAGCATTTCATCAAATAAAGATACAAACGAATGCAAAGACAAAGATGCTATTTCAATAGACAGTATTAATAATGACTTAGCTAAAATAACAATAGAAGTTACTGAAAGTTGCTCAAATCATATGTCACCGAAAAAATCTAGTATGCGGAATAACGCGCTAGATACAAAAGCTGAAAATATTCAAAAGAACGTAAGGTTTACTGACAAAATTGAACAATGAACTTGATAAAATAAATAACTGCATGAAATACTTATTATTTTTCAACAAGCTTCCACTATTGTTCATTTAAAAAATATAAGATATATATATATAATATTAATAATACATATTACATTACCAATTTAAATTTATGCAATATTTCCTTAATTTATATATTTTTATATTTTATTCAAACGAGCCTTTATGAATTTTCATTTTCTATTACTTGATTATTGTTCTTTATAAAATTTTTCAATTTTATTTATAGCCTGTATTAAACAAAATCTTATTTTATGTGACTTAACTAAAAAAAGGCTTAGTAGCTACTCCTAAAGTTCTAAAACATAAAAAACATACGTGCACAAGATGTTATTTTTAAAATTTATTAGGTGAAAATAGAATTAGTAACTTGTAAATTACAATTTTATTTTAAGTGTAATTTGTAGAAGAAAATATAGTATTTATAACTTTAGAATATTACATTGCCAATTGTATATTATATATGTAAACTAACAGTTATAATGATAGATTATAATACTGTAATGTATGCTGATGATTAAAAAAGAAAGTTTTAATACTTATATTTAAATTTAAAAGATTTATTCAATATATTTGAAACGTATAGTTTATTTTTTCCACAGAAATAAATTAAAATTTATGTGCTTGTATGACTATATATAAAAAAGACTGCGAATACTTTATAAAATAATCACATTTTATGTGCCATAGCAACAATAAATATTACAAGTCAAACAATCACAGAGAAATTTTATATATGTATATTTTATTAGAAATTATATATATGTATATTTTATTTCAGGCGAGCGGATGGATCGCAATTCGGTTAATGGTATATCAATCAAAATAATCTTCAATATCAATATCAGGATTTAACAAATCTTCGCCATACATACTTAAATCCAACTGATTAAGTATCAAATTTTCACACATCTCTTCCAAGTCCGTTTCTCCAATGAGCACTGCACCCTGCATTTTGCCATCCTGTAAGATAATTTTAACGTACTCCTGATCCTTTGTAATTCGCAAAAGTATCTCGTAATTCTTCCCCAATGTTTGCCCGTTATACAAGCCGAGTAAAACAACTTTATAGGAGAAAAATTTGGTCACGTGCGTGAAAAGTTCGAAGCAAAAGTCTTGCAAGAATTCTTCGTTTCGTAAATTCGAGACCATTGATTTTGCGGCATAACGGCCCATCTGATGAGCCTGCGTCCACAGTCTCATTTGAAACCAATGTTTCGCTTTCGGCCAACCGACAGTACACACGTCTCCGGCAGCGTAAATATCCTGTTTTGAAGTTTCCAGCTTCCAATCCACTAATAATCCTGAATCCTCCCCTCTTTCGAGATCTTCCAACCCACATATGTCGGAATTTGGAGTAACACCTGTTGCTGAGATAATAAGATCGCACCCGATAATTTTACCGTTCGTTAGTTGCGCGTAAATTGGCCACTCTTCTGTGGAATCAAACTGTTTTTGTTCATCGAAAGTGAGTAATTTTGATATCTCACACTCATACTCAACTTGGACATTTGTAGGCGTAAAATGTGTACCGCTTATATCAAAGCTATTATGCCAATCCGGACCAAGAGCAGCCCCATTTTTAACTGGAGTGCTATCCGACACAACATATCTCATTCTTTTAGTTGGCGAATCTTTATTAAGATTTCCTGATAAATCACATTTAGAAGAAATCTTGTCTAAAAAGAATTCTGCAGCTCCAGGATCGACAAAGGTTGCAGAAATGTGCTTGTCTTTAATTACCCAGATCATATCGACGCCTTTAACCTCATGCACTATTTCGGTAGCAATTCCTCCATTGCCAATAATAATGACTCTCCTCGCGTCTCTAAGTTTGTAGGAAAATTGTAATACGGATTCCGTATCACGAATACCTATGACGAAATCATTGTTTTCGGCTATCAGTTTGGGTTTGGCGCCAGTACAAAGACACAACATCTTGAAACTTATGACTTTTCCACTTTCAATTTCTATCAGCTTCTTGATCGTGTCAATTTTAATTGCAGTATCATGAATAACTTGTAACATTTTATGCTTCTCGCTTAAGACTATTGCGCTCTTTTCTTCTACGTCGAAATGCATTAATGTTCTGCCTAATGGGACTATATTTGTCACAGCTTTTACCAGGGGACTAGCGGTAATTAAAATTATGCTTTCATCTGGAGCAAGGAAACTCAATCCTTCAGCGCAAGATACTCCAGCTATACCGCCTCCTATTATGACAAATGTAGATTCTATCTTTTCCATATTTTCCTTGAATTCATTCATATTTAATAAAGGATTATACAGACATCATAATATGATAATATAAATAATTAAAGATTAATTATTTGATGGATGCCACTCTGAATAATCGTATTGTCTTATAGGAAGATCGAATGTAACAGTTCCGTAATCCTTGGCCCTAGTTAATGCAACTAGGAGTTGTTTGTGCCTCTTTTGGCAAATATTTGTTTTCCTATAAAAATATTTAAATCCATAAAATGTATATGTATGAAAAGATATAAGTGCTAATATTATATAACAGAAACATGTAAAGAGAAATGTTGATAAAAATGAGGAGAGCACAAAGTCTTCCATAATGCATAACGCATAATGCATAAAAAAATGAAACAAAATCCTTAATTTCCGTTTTTCCATGAAATAAAAGACTGATAAATTTTCTTATGTCTTATGCATTATATAAAAGTTTGGCCTTAAATGCTTACGAGTAACTCAAAACGCTTCCGTTATGTTTGTTGATGAATTGTTCAAGCAGCTTGACGTTTCTATGATCAAGTACGAGATATTCGTCCCTACATATGGGACATGGACTTCCAGTCGAAATTTGGTTGTTTCTCTAATTAATTACATGGCATTATTAAAAACATTATATTATCATATTGTAATATGAGAAAAATCTGCATACATACTATACAAGTTTTTCGAGTTTTCCTAGGTGGAAATTGTCCTTTAAAATTTCTTCTATACGTTTTCCATACTGGATCATCTCCATAAGTTTGTTTGTAAGCTGCATTTTGGAATAATTTCAAATCACAAGATAATGATAAGTTTGTAAAATAAATCTTACAATTGTTAGATAATCGTGTTGTGTTTAAAGAACAATTTCTTACCATCACTATTCATATATTTGATGCTAGTTTCTACTGATACAATTGGTACAACTTTAGGAGTCTCTGCAGCTGAACTAACATCTTCAGTTGCATTTCCTTCCTTACAACAATGTGTAAGCGAAAACGTGATGGCTCTCACTGGATCAAGCTGCAAGCAATTTATATCTATAAAGGCGACTTTGACCAAACTTTGATTAACTTAAGTGGCGATTAATTCATTGAGCAATATCTGTACTAGCTTATCAATATAAACAGAATAATTAAATTTTGTTTGATACATGAAAAAAAATTAAATTAAGAACAGCGAATTGTGTAATTAGAAATCTTGCAGCAAACTGTTCCGTTGGTTAAATTAACTACTAATAATAAGTTAATCGGTGAATGGCAACCAGTGGAGTTGCTGTAAACAAAATTCCTAATTATACAATTTTTTTTACAATTTAATGTAATGTAATTTAAATAAAAATTTTTATTACAATTTAAATATAAATGTTATCCCAGATTTAAACAATACAAAATTACTTTATGTTAACAAAATAATATAGATATTGACAAATTAATCGCCGACAAAGTTAATCTGAGTTTAGTCAAAGTTAAATATTCTTGGGTGCGTTCCGAGTTAAGCATAAAACACATGATGCATCATTGGTCCTTGTTGTTCCAAATAATAAAGAAGGATAAAACGATACATCACGCGCTTCATGTGTAACTTGGAACGTATTCCTTGAAGAATATAGGCTTACAAATTGTTGAAAAAACTCACTTTATGAGTTAAACTCGCCCGTACCAACATTCCTTTCGATGTAGCGTATTTAGAATTGACATGCTCGATGTAATAACTACGATAATAAATATTATTATGGTACAATTATTATAATTATTGTATAATTATGTATAGTATTCCATAGCGTTGGCGTGCACGTGTTAGAGATAACCTCGAATTTATGATAGCAAATCATGCAGGACAAACAGTTGCGAATTAAATGAATTAAGCATTACTAAATCATTTTTAATTAGGAAATAAAATAATTAATGTGATAGAATGACAGAAAAAGTACTACGTACGTAATTTGACGAAATTATGATTACGACTAGACTTCTATAGACTTCTATGATTACAAAATTACAACAAATTGCACAATAAATATGGGCTTGCTCGATGCAATAAATGTTATAGGTTTGTCCGCATTTAAAATCTCAAATAATTTTTGTATACATACGTAACATTAAAAAAAGAGAAAACGAAGATATATAGAGTGCAGATTATACACCTTGGCCCGTATTCAGAATGCGCTTTTATGCGGATTTCCATTGGAAGGTTTTCCTTCATTTTGAAAGTTTTTTGACCTATCGGAAGGTTGAAGGAAGGTTTTTGAAAATTAAAGGTTTTTTTTACTAGAACGAACTACGAATCACTATTCGGTGAAAGAAATTATCGGTTTGCGTTCCTTTTTTTACGACTTAAGACCCTACGACTGCTTCTATTGTAGACCCCGCATTATCTCTGAAATTCTATAATATACGTGACATAAAGTATAGTATGTTAAGCCCATTCTACAATTGCGTAAGCAGTTAAGCAAAATCTTCTTGCTAATGATACAATAAATAGTATTATAATCACAAAATCTTCCTTCCATGATGACACAATTTGCTGCAAAGATTTTAAAGTTAGCGAGGAACATATAAACCTACATAACCATAAGAATACTCGCGTGGCATAAAATATCGGAAGTGTTTTAAAGATAAATGCATAATACCCAGACAGCACAGGACGTCCTTTGGACGTCCATTTAAGGTTCATTTTAGGTCCATATGTCCATGGACTAAAAATGAATGTCGATTGGACATCCATTTCTGGACGTACTTAGGCTTAACCTATATAGGATATCATATGGATGTCTATTTTCGGATTTAAATTGGAATATCCTAATTATTAGAACATTCTATTATATTTGTTATTCTTTAACGAAAATATTATTATCTTATACATTTATGCATTAATTATATTTCATCTTAATTGTATTTATAATACATATCATTCTTAAATACTAAAAGTTCAGCTAAAAAGAACAGGCCTAAAAACAATTTTAGTGCAGTCTAGTGCAGGAATAAAAAATGATTGGTCAATTAGTAAAATCCTTTCTTTCGATTGATCAATCAAAAGCTTCGAAGTATTTGTAGCGCCAAGTGGACGGCATATCTGGATCAATGCCCAGGAGATCGATTCTGTATTTTCAAACAAGGTGAAAATGACAAAAGTGAGCAAATTTACTAGGCGTTGACCAATGAAATTATCAGTATTCTAGTAAATTTGCTCACTTTTGTAATTTTCACCTCGTTTCAAGATACAGAATCGTAATACCTTTTGCACAATGCGAGGGAATAGCAATAGCGATAAAAATAATACAGAACGCACAAGACAACCCATTAAAAACCGTGAATTTTAGTATACACGGTTCCTAATAGGTTATTCCTGTATTATTAGGGCCACTGTCACCAAGCTCAGTTAACTTAATTGGTCAGTTAGTCCATCGAAATGCGATTGGTCAATTTCGATGGACTAACTGGTCAGTTAAGTTAACTGAGCTTGGTGACAGTGGCTCTTAAGTCTGGTTCTACAATAGGTGTTTTAAGACTTAAGCCGTAAGAATTGACCAATTACAGTCGAATCCGAGGAGAATAATCGACTGTGATTCGCCCATTTCTTATGGCTTAAGGCTTAAAATTCTATTGTAGATCCAGGGTAAGAATGGCTGCGTTCAGCAGAACGGTTGTTTTGCAACTGTTGGAAGTTTCCTTCGCGCTAATTGGATCATACTTTTAGATCTAGAAGAATGGTCCTATCTCAGCAGACAATCATAAAACGGTTGCAAAACTGTTGAGTCTGCTGAACGCAGCCAATATATCCACACAAATTTGCATAGCCGCATAAACGTATGCATAAAGAAAATTATTCAATCGCATTTCTCCTATAAAGGCTGTGTTCCAAATTTACTGTCAGCACTGAAAATGCAACAGTTTACGTTACGTGCACTGTAGATTTTCAATACAGACAGTCAATTTTGGAACATGGCCAAAGACGCACGTAATTGTGATTGGATAATTTTCTTTATGCATACGTTTATGCGGCTATGCAAGTTTGTGTGGATATACCCTAAGGCTTAAAACCCTATTGTTGATCCGGGGTTAGGGGTCTAATGCGGGATCTACAATAGAAGTCGTAGCAGTCGTAGGGTCTTAAGTTGTAGAAAATTGACCAATCACAGTCGAATATGAAAAGAATAATCGACTGTGATTGGTCAATTTTCTACGATTTAAGATCCTACGACCGTTACGACTTCTATTGTAGACCTCGCATTATAGTACCATGAAATGTATATGTCAGTTAAAGCTGCTCAGCTTTACGCATGCGCACAAGTTTCCTAGAGCAGACATTACTGCTTCCCTTACTGCTCTTACCTTATTTCATGTGTACGAATCCATATGCCCGTATTAAGCCCATGGCACAAACAAAAACGTAATGGCTCCTGCACTGGACGCGGAAAAGCTTACCGCGCGACAAAATGCGACGCGGTAACCAATGAACAGTTAGGAGCTGTAAGCTTATTGGCTA